AAAAAGAAACTAAAAAATGTATTGACAAAATTAAAAATAAAATGGAAAAGTAGTAACCGAACAAAAAAAATATTTTTGAAGACATATGACACTTGGTTAAAAGCCTCAACAAATATTTGTTTAAGTTATTTAATGCTTATCTCTATTAAAGTTTTAAGCTTTTTTATATTTACTAAATATTTAAATAATTTCAGAATGTTCAAGCACGAAACAAAGAGAAAAAAAGCCATAGTGCAATGATTCGACCACCTTTGAATTTTGATGAAGCAAGTGAGCAAACGAAACGGCGAAAAACAGAGGAAATGTGTTCGACATTTAGTTCATCCGAGTTAGCATTTGCTTCTCAGATGAGTCTTCGGGCTTCAGGAGCATGCAATGCCGGAGTTACAGTTAAAGATTTACCTTTCACCATTCAACACCGAGTCGCAAATTATATAGAGAGCCTTAAATTGTCCCAAATTTCACAAACATCTGAACTATGTGCTGAAACAGCTCTTTCCATACTAATGGAAGCAAAGCTTTCTAAACACCAATATTGCATTATAAGAAGTGCTGCAATTGCAAATAGCTCTACTTTTTTACCATCTTACGAAAAACTTAAAGAAACCAAGAAAATGTGTTACCCTGAAGATATAATGGTAACTGAAATAAGCGCCGAAGTAAAACTGCAATCTTTATTAAATCACACTTGTTTACGAATTATAAAAACTCAACAAGATGTAATTGACTCCTTGAATGTAAATATTTTATCAAATTTTATTTTAATTCTTAAGCGGGGGTTTGATGGCAGTTCCGGTCATAGCGAATATAAACAGAGATTTGCCGATGGAAGAAACTCAGATGCAAATGTTTTTCTGACTTCACTTGTACCATTACAACTTTTGTGTACAAATTCAGTTTTAGGTCAAGATGTTATTCTATGGAAAAATAGGACACCCTCATCTACTCAATTTTGCCGACCTATCAGACTGCAATTTCTTCTCGAAAATGTCTATACAAGCATTAATGAAAAAGACTATATTGAAGATAAAATTAAATCACTGGTTCCTCTCATCATTGTTCAACATAAAATAGAAATTAAAATACATTATAAATTGGTTATGACAATGATTGACGGAAAAGTTTGAAATGCAATAATATTGACGAAATCAACAATGCGGTGTTATTTGTGTTCTGCTACTTCGAGTCAATTCAATAATATCAATTTCGTTAAAGAAATAAAAGTTGACAAATCAAAAAAGGTTTATCAACGTTGCACGCATGGATTCGATTTTTTAAATGTTTTTTGCATCTTGGGTATAAACTTGGAATAAAAAATTGGCAAGCACGTTCTGACATTGAAAAAAGTATAATATTACAACAAAAATTGTTAATTCAGAATGCTTTTAAGCTGCAGCTAGGGTTAATAGTTGATCGACCGAAACCAGGATGCGGTAATACAAATGACGGAAACACAGCTCGAAGATCTTTTAAAAACTCACAAGTGTCTGCTGATATTCTAGGAGTGGATTTAAAACTAATAAATCGGTTTCATGTAATTTTACAGGGATTTTCTAGTGGCTTTCCTATAGACGCAGACAAACTTGATGACTATTCTATCAAAACTGCACTACTTTTTATTGAAAAGTATCCTTGGTACAACATGCCTACAACAGTACACAAAGTACTTATTTATGGAGCCTTAATAACAAAAACAGCAATACTACCCATAGGACAACTATCTGAGGATGCACAGAAATCGAGAAACAAAGACTTAAAAAAATATCGCGAAGATTTCTCTAGGAAAAATTCCCAAAAAAATACAATGCATGACGTTTTTTACAGACTTCTGGTTTCGTCAGATCCTGCAATGTCTTAACTTTTAAAATCTCATGCAAAAGTTAGCAGATCTTTGTCTTCTCAAGCTTTACAAATGTTATTACCTCCGGAGATTAACGAAAACTCTGAAACTCATTCGTCTGTGATTGAGTTTATCAACAATATTTCAATAATAAATGATTCAGATGACAGTGGTGATTTATTTTAAAGTAATATAAATGAAACAATTATGATAAATGATGCAAATAAAAGTTTTCCTTGTTTTCCTTGAACAAATAAATAAGTAGAATTAACATTCTTAACATTGCGGCATAATAATACGGTCATAATACATTATATATCGGTATTATATATAATGTTTATATATGTAATGTAAATAATACATTAGTCTATTGAACTTAAATGTCGAATTAGAACTAATTGGTTAAACACGAAGGACCAAAGGCATTTCTAATGAATAATGTTTTTAAAACAACGCCATTTTGGATCTGCCATTATTGATTTTTGGTACACTTATGTAAAATTCAAAGTTGGGGATTCAAAAAAATGCTATACAGAAATTTCCATTAATTATAATCATTTTTTGACTTTTGGCCAGGTTTTTTGAAATTCCACCCACTGTGCGCTGGTCACAACAATCCAGTCAAAAATTTCTTTAAAAAAATCAATTTATAGTTGAGAAATTCGTATTTTTTGATGTTTGATGTTATGTTTGTAAAATAATAATTATATATATGTGTGTGTGTGTGTGTGTGTGCGTGCGTGCGTGCGTGTGTGTGTGTTATTTCTTTCTAACCCTTTTATTTTTACATTCTTATCTTGACAATATTTTTATAGGGTTAAGACTGCTCCCCTGATTCCTACAGCAAAAAAACAACTTTAAAATGCTGGTGATAATATTTTAAAGAGTGCACCTGATCGAAAAGAAGGTGAATGACGTCAACTGTTCGAACATTCGATTCTTGGAAATTAACAAGTGGAAGAAGAAGTTTATAAAGTTGTAATTTATAAAACTCATCACAATTATATTATTAAAAAATTTAAACGATTTATTATTTTTTTCTTATTCTCAAGAAGTTCTGTGAAAACATATATTTGAACCTTACGTTTAAGTAAAGCCATGTAAAAACACGTATTTTAGACGTCGAAATGAGAACGTCTAAATTAGGTTATTTAAAGACGTCATTTGGCGTTTCCATTTAGCACTAGTTCTGATCGTCCTAAATTCACGTATTTTAGACGTCTAAAAACACGTCTTTATTCCGTTTTAAAAAGACGTCCTAATTACGTCTAAAAAAGACGTCATCTGGCGTTGCCATTTAGAACCAGTTCCGGACGTCCTAAAAAGACGTCCTTTCGACGTCATATGGACGTTTCCGTGCCCGCTGGGTTAACTTCATATAACCATAATGGAACGAGGTTAAGAAAATAGTATAATTGTAGTAAAAGAAAAAGAAATTAGTTTTCAGAGTAGGATTTTTTTTCTGATTTAAAAGAAAATAGAACAATTTGAAGTTTGGAAAATCTTCAGGGTCAATAGAAATCAAAAGAAACTGGAAAAAAGATATTTTAAGACTGGTGTGTACTACAGTGAGTCATCATGTTTTATAATTTTTCTTACCGAGACTAACCTTAAAAACCATCTATTTGCAAATTTCTTATACAAAGAGTTCATAGTTGGAGAAAAAACAGGACGTAAAACAACAACAAAGACGTTTTTTTTCAAAATGAGAACAATAAAAGATGAACAATGAAATTTTGAATACATAAGTCAACATTTTTAATTTAGCAGATAGTCCGGTTATTCCAAAGAATACCGGCAAAGATTGTTTAAAATCCTCAGCAAATGAAAGGTATCGAGGACTTAACAGAAGAATAACTACAAGACGTATTTGTAAATAACACATAAAAATATGTTGACAAGATTTAAGTTAGTTTTGAGACACTAAATAATGTTAACCTTAAGCAGTTTGTTCTTAAAGCAAAGAGTTATGGTAACCAATCACTCTGAAGAGCATATAAACTCAATACTTGATAATGAAGGGCTAATCAATTTTATGGTTATATTTAAAATAACCTTTTATTTGTTTCACCCTTATCAGGAATATGCTGAAAAAAGGTGTCAAGTCGACAACTCTGAACTCAGTTATTTCAAGTTCATTCTTATAAAAAACTCTTAATTATTGCATAATGCTTTACATCTTATAATTGAAATATGATAGCACAACATAGCTAATTTTAAAATTTTTTAATCTTAATTTTAAAATTTCGTAATCTCTGATATTATTTTGCATCATGAATTTTTCCCTCGCTTATAAGGAAAGTCAAACATATTTTTTTTCAGCAAATTGTCGCCTAAGATTATAAGGTTTAATCATTTTTTATTTTGTAAGAATTTAACTTTCAATATTTCGTTGTTAATTTGTTTTACTGTTGTTATTTTTTGATATTATAAATTATGTGTAGTTTATGTTATTATTGTTTTAATATTAAATTTATAATATTGTTTATTTATTTTTATTAAGTTTTTTTTTGGTTATTAATTGGTAATTAAAACTTTTATTGCTAAATTCTTATAACATAAAAGGCAATAATTTTCATGCGTCGAAATATAAGCAACTTTTATAAAAATTCACTTTCTTTTGCAAATAACAAGTACTATGGTTAAAAATTGCAGAAAACAAGTACTAAGATTAAAAATTTCTTTTTTTAAAGTTAAAAACGCATGTTTCATAAAATAATGTTAAAAAATATCTTTATTTTAGGGCTTTAATAAGTATTTTGCTGTTTTGTAAAACTTATTCAAAGGAATTTTTATTATTATTAATTCATTTTTTTGAAAAAAAGTATTTTTCTTTTTTCATACTTACAATTATAATATTAAAGTTATAACTATAATACTTACAATTCTAATTTCAATTACATCTCTAAAAAAATACATCTCTAAAAAATACACGTCTAAAAAAGTATTTTATTCTAGCTCTTACATGTATACGTAAGAGAATGTTTTTTTGTATACAAACCTTTTATTAGTACTGTAAAAAGTTGAGAACGACGAGAACGAATCTAATTGACGTTTAAAAGTCCAATTTTTGTTAATTTTTTATATAAGTTAAATGTTTAATATATATGAATATATATATTTTTTGATATACAAATACATTTTAAAATCTTTTTCAGCAACAAATACTGTTTAACACCAAATGGAATCAAATCAAGAGGAGTTCGATTATTTGAAAGGTAGTTTTTACTTTACCATTAACACATTAACACCCTATATTTTGTATTCCTTGATTTAATAATATACGTAAAATATAACTTTCAGTTGAAAAATTATCAAGAGATGTACTCAACGTCATTGTCGAAGAGATGCCGTTGCATTGGAAGAAACTTGCTCGTTTCTTAAACGTTAGTGATATAGAAATAGACAGAGTTTTACACGAGTACAAAACCACCAGAGAACAAACTTACGAGGTTTTAAATAGTTGGTGTAAAGATAATCCAGAAAAAAATTGGCGGGATATAAAATCTGGGTTGCTATTTTGTGAGCGAAAAGACGTTATCTTAAAATGTGAAAGAAGTAAGTTTTTTGTTACATAATACTTTGTCTTACTATAATGTTATATATTGTTCTTTTTTTTTCTCCTTTTAATTTTTGATAAAATTATTAACAAATGTCAAAAAAATCTTGCTTTTTAATGCTCAATTAAATGAGTACAGATGAAAGGAGATGGGTAAAGTATATATATATTTTTTACACATTTTTTAAAAATATTTCAAATATAACGTTAATCTACACAATACTAAAAACTGGCTTTTTTATTTCTTTAATTTTTATGATTTCTTTATATTTTTTTTTTACAATTTTTTTTTATTTGTTTATAGAAGAATTTTCAGTTTAAGGTATTAAAACAATCTTTATTATTTTTATGGAATATAAGCCGTTCGTATTGTGTAAACACTTAAAATTTTTCAGAGCATTGAGACTAGTATTTTCAGAGCATCAAGAATAGTTTTTTTATGCATTTTTGTTGTAATATTACTATAAAAACTATTCTTGATGCTCTAAAAATACTAGTCTCAATGCTCTGAAAAATCTTAAGTGTTATAAATTTTAAGTTATATAAAAATGCTACGTGCATTATAATGCTTGTAGTGGAAAGAGTTTTAAGTAAAGCTGGTTTTCTTCATGTTAAGCTGGAAAAAAATGTTGCACAATTGTTAAGCTGGAAAAAAGCGTTGCACAATTGCGACTTTTTTATTTACTCTTTTTTTAAAAAAAAATTATTTAATAAACAATCATATTAAACAATCACTTTACTCTGTCCATCATGAAGATAAATCAAGTTAATTTTTAAAAAACAGTCTATTCATTTTAGGTATTCCGATAAAAACCTTTTATTAATAAACATTAGGAAATTCCTTTTTGTTTGAACAATATTTATTTATTTTTAAAAACGTATTTGTACTTGGAGCCAAGTATTAAAATTTTACCTAGATAAACAAGCTTATTTTGTTTTTAAATAATAAACGTTTTTAACAGTTTTTAGCTCTGGTTTACTGGTGACCCCTACAAACCTATGGGTTAGTGTCTAATAATCCTGAAAACCAACAGGCATCATTTAGCTTATAAAATAATCAACAGTCATTATTTTGATTATAAAATAAATCTTACAAAACTTTGAATTGCTATTATCTTTTTTTTTTTTTTTTTTTTATGAGGATAAATTTTGTTTTAGGTATTAATAAACCATTATTATTTTACCATCTTTAAGCTCGTTTTCTAGCATTATTGAGTTTTTACCCAGTGGTTTTTTTGAGTTAAAAGAAACTTTTGTTCTTTTTCTTTTCTGGATTTATTTCTATAATAAATATTCATCGGTTGATCTAGCAACACTTTTCGAATGTTCTACGTATTTTTCAGTTAATGCAGCAGCACTCCTCGCATGTTCTACTTACTTGGCAGTCAATATATACAATCAATAAAAAAATAAGGCTTTATTCTAAAGGCTATATTCTCGTTCCATTATTTTTTTTTATATATTTTAATGATTTTAACGAATGCCTGAGACACTCCGATAAAATTGCCTGAGAAACTGCAATAATATTGCCTGAGACACTGCAATAATACTACCTGAAACACTGCAGACCATGGAGTGATACACTACGCCAGCAATGATTTTAGAACTATCTAAAATTGTATAAATGACGACTTATAAACTCAATTTCAAAATATCTCAAAAATAACGATTTAATCTTCTGAATTAATAATTATAAAGATTTAGAAATTAATTTAATTTCTGAATCTAGATAAATGTCACTTGATGGAATTTTTATATTATCGTAAGGTAAATCTAGACTTTTTAGAAAAGTTGACAATTGCTATAATACCCCAGACAACAAGGGTATACAGCAATGGTCGCACACTGGTCCTGTGTAGTCTGCCGCGCTGGACCGGCTACGGCTGCTGACGTTGGTAAAGCTCCGTTTTGTTGCAAGGATTTTTCATGGACCAGCCGTGGCTAGCCAGTAATAGCAAAATAGCAGCTAGCCAGTTCAGGACAAGAACTGGCAGAACAACGGTTAGCCATTGTTACACCGCACCATCATGAATTTGTCTTTGTTTACTAATTGGGTCGCGCATGGGATTGTTATGGATTTTTATTGGACAATCTTATTCAAAGTCCCTATATTTTCCTTTTAGACCCCGTCTTCTTAATTATTTAATGTTAGTTTTAGCAAAATCGACTGTAATTTTTAGGTTAAAACTTTGCGTATTTTTCATTAGTTTAAGGACAATAAAATATATTAGATACGTGATAATTGATATTTTTAAGATTTATGAGTAAATTTGAAAAACAGGCTTAAGTTTCAAAATATATTTACGCGACATTGAAACAATTACTATACAATGATTTGATTCATAATCATTTGACGTAGGTGCTTTTATGCGATTCATTTCCAATCGCCAACATGATCAACATGAAATCACAGAGCACCGCGGAAGTGCAGTTAAATAATAAATTTGCACCTCCTTCCTTACCGTGACGCGAATAAATAGTTCGTTTCAAACCTGGATTTCCTTCTGCTAAAACAAGAGCTCTATTAGTTAATTGCACTTCCGCGGTGCTCTGTGATAAGACTGTAAGGTCTTCTTGGGGCACCTAAAAAACAAAGTGAAAAATTTAAAAAAAAAAAAAGTTTAATCCATTAACACCAAACCATAGTTACATAGACTTGAGTGAAATGAATCTTCTATAACTTTGTGAACTAAAATGTATTATTATTAAAACACATGTTTTAACTTGAATTGTTATGGACAAAAATTTTACTCCCAACTTCATGTCTTGAGATTTGACATTACATGATTGGATATTTAACTTACTTTATACATTACATGATTGGATATTTAACTTACTTTATACATTACATGATTGGATATTTAACTTACTTTATACATTACATGATTGGATATTTAACTTACTTTATACATTACATGATTGGATATTTAACTTACTTTATACATTACATGATTGGATATTTAACTTACTTCATACATTACATGATTGGATATTTAACTTACTTTATACATTACATGATTGGATATTTAACTTACTTTATAGCAGATTCTAAATGAAACATATAATATGCTGTTGCAGATTTATCATTTCATTATAAATAGATGAATTAAAAATGTTGCCACAGTATGATTACAATTGAACAGACGAAACAGACAACAGACGAAATCTGTTTATCTAACTGCAACACAAACTTGTCAGCAAGGGAACAGAGAAGGATTTAATTTACTACCTGAGTCTGGTAGGTATAAGGTGTTGGGGAACACTTAAAATGTTAGGAGACTTATAAACTACATTGAAAAAAAAATTCATCGAATTAGAATAAAACAATTGTGCCAATTTATACATACATATGTATGCATGTGTATAAGTAAGTATATTTAGATGTTTGTGTGTTTATATATGAATAAATAATTGCATATGTAATTCTTAGTGATTATTTATATATGTATTATTAAACAATTTTTTATTTTAAATCTGTTTAGACTTTTAGGGATCCTTACTCATGATCCACTTAGATATTTGGGCTCCTGAAACCTTTTTTAAAAACACAGAGGTTTTCAAAAAGTAGCAAAAGTGCTCATATTACCCGACCAAATTAACTTAAAAAAATAACATTAACTAAGTAAAAAATACCAATCTGATAATTAGAACTAATTTTTGAAATATAATGATTTGTTATTAACAAAACTTATTATTAAAAGATCAAATTTTAAGCCACTTTTTGTTGAAACAATAATGCTATGTTTTCCACACAAAAAAAATTCGTTCGATATTTTTTCCATTTTATTAACTCAAAATTTTAATCAAGTTTTTTAATTTAAGTTACAGAAAAAATATTTAGTACTCTTAAAACACTAAATTTTTTACTATGTTTTCTTTTTACTTAAAAAGCAATTAAAACCACTGCTATTTTTTTATAATTTCAATGAAAAACACTGGGTAGTATTAGCATGCTCATATTAAATAAAAATGGCATCTTTAAATAAAGTCAAAACTAAATGTTTCTATGTATTGTTTTTCGAACAAAAATGGATTGGGTTTTTGGTTGACAAATTTTTCTTTATAAAAAAATTAATTTCATTTTTTTAGCAACAAAATTTCGCGCCACAGAAGGCGCGTAGTAATCAAAGTATTGATTTTTTCGCGAGATGAATTTATGTGAATAATTATGCCTCAAATTGATTCCATTTAAGCAATTATTCATAGAATCTCCAATTGAACTACTTTGCTCACTTTGATTTGGAAATTCAGACTGAAAATCTTCTATTGATGTAAAAGCAATAAAAGAAAATTTTCTATTGGTGCAAAAGCATCTTTTATGTCTTTGCTACTGTTATTTGCTGACTCTTGAGATAAAATATTTATTGCATCTTTCTTTATAAAAGAATTTAAGTACTTTATCTTCGAAGATCTAATCTAATTAAGTTTTTATTATTCTTACTATATATATATATAACTTTGCTTTATAGTGTGTTCGGTTAGTACATTTTAGTTTATTTAGTTGTTTATTATTACATAATACGCAGTTATTTTATTAATTTAGTTGTTGAAGTTTTCTTTTAAATCTGTTCTTCTTAAAAGTGTTATTTTTCTATGAGAAATAGAATGTAAAAACAAAATTGGTGTTTTTATAGATGTCTTTTATAGAACTTGGTTATAATCTACTTGATTAAAGTATGTTTTTACATAAAATTATTTTATTAATTGTAAATTTTTGGTTATGCGATTTCAAGTGAAGCTGCAGCAGCTCTTGGTTATGGACTTTTGAAAGATCTTGTAGTTATTACTAAAACTGATAATACTGATGTTTTAGATAAGAGTAAAATGGACCGAGCTAAAAAAAGAGTTTGTCTTCAGTCGGTTGCTGAACATGATATTACAGTCCAAAATCTATCATGTATTGGATACGATAGTAAAGATAACAAAGGTAGTCTGGTTTATAGAAGTATGTTACAAGATAGTCTTGGCAAAAAAAGCAAATTAACTGAAAAGGCCTATCATCTAAGTTTTACAGTGGAATCAAGAGAAATGAAAGGTAGATACCTGGCATGCAAAGACATTTTAAATGCGACAGGAGAAAGTTTTGCACAGTCTGCTTTTGAAGTGTTAACATAATACAACAGTGTTTATTCTTTGTTAGGAATTATTTTTGACAATACAAATGTCAACACTGGGTAGAAAACTGGCCTTTGTGATAGTCTTGAAAAAAAACTTGGCAGAACAATTCATAAAATTAGATGTGCACTTCATAGTAATGAGTTACCTTTGCGCCATATTATAGAGCATTTAGATGGGGGTACAAACACTTCACAAATATTTTTTGGTGAAATCAGAAAAGCTGCAGCACTAGACCATCATGACAAATCCATGACCAAATTCGAACCTGTCTTGACAACTTTAGTTATTCCAGAAAATAGTGTGATCAATGACTTAAGTTCTGATCAAAGGTTATTGCTAGAATATGTTTGTGGTATAAGTTCAGGTAAGCATAATATTAAAAATATATAACAAATTTAATCTGCAGTTTAATTAAGAATGTTTACTCTTATTATAAAATGTTTTTAAAAAAGAAAATTTATTTAAATTCATGTGCTGTAAATCCAATTTACACTTTACTGGAGGTTCAATAATTTTATGCACAACATTAAAAAATATAAAGACTTTTAGCCAAACTATACAAGACATTACACTACCTGTTGTTTTGAGAAATACGTTTTCTACCAGAAATATTATTTGAGAAATATTGTTTTCTACCAGAAAACTTTCTTTTATCCCTTCTTGTTAATAATATGAAAAAAAGTACGTAATAAAGCAGTTAGGTTGATTTTAAAATGCCGAGACGATCCTCCACCTGCCCAATCGAATATACGATGGCATCTGAATTAACAAAACCCAAATATTGAAAATCTTGAAATTCACATATGTAAGTATTATATATATATATGACGCATGAACAGATCTGGTTTCTGATGATAAACTGATCTATGAACCTCCTACTACTAAAAGATTAACTTATCAGAAACTACTTAATGCAATTGAATGTAAACCAGATCCTTGTGAGCTTGACTAAGACTTTCCATTGCACAGTCAGTCTGTTGAGCGTGATGGAAAGCTTGTTTCTAAATTTTCAAAAAAAGCGTATTCTTTCCAGAATAGGCATGAGTTAGCAGTAGGAAAATAAAAAAGTCGAATTTCAAGGAAAAAGTTCCAAAAAAAGATTATGATATATTTATTGTTTTTGACTTTCTCAACACTCCTATTTTATAATTTACAATAGTATAAAAAATTTGAATGCTAATAATCAAAAAATATCATAAATAATATAATTTTTTTAAGTTTGAAGTTTTTTATTTTATCTAAAAATAAAACAAATTTTAGTTAAAAATTTATTTTTTAGTTGCTAATTTTTGGAACTATTGTTGAATTATATCTAGGGAATAGCTAAGGCTTAACATTGCGCTTTAATACGATATGAGGATATTTTGAAAAATAAACTTTTTTAGCCTAAAACTTTATACTTTTGTTTAGTTGTAATGCTGTAAATAAACGCTTCGTGTTAACTTTATTTTTTATAATACCTAACTTAAATAAAAAAAAAAAAAGAAAAAGTAATGGTTTTTACTGAGTTCGATAAGCTTTTAGTATTTAAAAAACTATTTTTTCAATAAAAGTTCATTTACGGCTACCTGTTGCTGAAAACCTGTAAAATTTAACACTAACTTGTATATTCAACTGTTATATGACTAAAAATATAATTTAGTTAATGGGTCCAAAGTAAAATCAGCAAAGCCCCAGTTTTTATTTTTACCAAAAAAAATTAGGAATTACATAGCAACTTTCGTTTTGCATTTTTTAGGCGTAAAATTAGTGGTAACTGGAAAGTTTCGTCAATGATTTTGCTTCTTTGTAACGATACAGCAATATCCTTACTGTAAACTAGGCAAAGGATCTCAAAAATCGAAAACTTTAAAACTACTAGTTTTCTATGATACCGTTCAATTGTAAAACACATTTTTAGTGAAGTTGAATAATTTACCGAATTTTTCTAATCAATTGCGAAAATTTGAGTAAAGTAGAAAAAAAAGAATCATTGTTCCGAATTCCTGACAATATTTCCCAGCTATCTAAGGGCACAGCAAGTTAAAATTTTGAAAAAAGTACAAAATCGACCTCTCTTAGTGTGAGTGTACTTTTACCTTCTGTATACAGAAGGTAAAAGTACGATTTGAATACAAAATTACATAAGTGTTTTTTACTAATTTATAAGTGCTCTGTTCTTTATACGCATTTGAGAGCATTAGGAACTTTATTTGTAAAATATAATAACATAGTTTACGCACACACATATGTAAGAATTATATAAATATATATATATATATATATATATATATATAAATATATATATATATATATATATATATATATATATATATATATATATATATATATATATATATATGTATATATATATATATATATATATATATATATATATATATATATATATATATATATGTATATATATATATATATATATATATATGTATATATATATATATATATATATATATATATATATATATATATACAACACTTAAATATGTAAGTATTATATATATATATATATATATATATATATATATATATATATATATATATATATATATATAATATATATAATACTTACATATGTAAGTATTATATATATATATATACATATATATATATATATATATATATATATATATATATATATATATATATATATATATATATATGTGTTATATATATATATATATATATATATACATATATATATATATATATATATATATATATATATATATATATATATATATATATATATATATATATATATATATATATATATATATATATATATATATATATATATATATGTATAAGCTCTGTTCTTTATACGCATTTGAGAGCATTAGGAACTTTATTTGTAAAATATAATAACATAGTTTACGCACACACATATGTAAGTATTATATATATATACATATATATATATATATATATATATATATATATATATATATATATATATTATATATATATATATATATATATATATATATATATATATATATATGTATGTATATATATATATATATATATATATATATATATATATATATATATATATATATATATATATATATATACAATAATAAACTAAATAAATAATGTATAATAAATTTGTTTAAGAAGCGTCCGTGTGTTATCAGATACGCTAGAATACTTTGAGAAAGCAATAAGCGTTTACGATTACCCAACTAAGATTGTTTGTTATTTTCTCCGCGATCAAACTAAATGAAGTTAAACGAATATATTGAAGTAGTATTATCATACCCTAAATATAATACGTGTTGCAAACTCCATGGTTATGATATTTCGCAACAAAATAAATAAACGCGTGGTTTTAAATACATAGTATAGCCATTTTTAGTCTACAACAAATTCATTATTATCTTTTTTGTAACTAGAAACATTCAAACCTAGGCTGGTAAAGAAGCATACTAACAATCTTCCATGAAATGTTTAGTGAGGCCCTGACGGTATATGGTTGCTCCGGTTGGCTTTAAAAGCGATAACTTTTAAACAGTCAAAGATATACATTAAGTTTTTATATTTTTGGAAATAATAGAAAAAATTAATTTATAAAGCATTAAAAAATTTAAGTGGGCAAATATTTTGTAAAAACTTGTAACATTGTGTTGTTATTTTTTTATTATCAACTTTTGTTTGTAACATCTTTAAATCATCTAAAAAAATGGTTATTATATTAAACTTTACTTTACTGATTTTTAATTTTTAGTTTTAATAAAATAAGTTTTTGCTTGGTCTTTTTTAGCTTGATATAAAAATCTAGATATATTCTAATTTAGCGATTTATACTTCAAAAATTTTAATTTTAATAAATAAAAATACTATTTAATTTTAACTAATATAAATTAAGACTTTATTATTTAGAACTAAATGTGCGTTCAATATTTGGTGTTCAACCGTCTACAGAAAAACTATTTTTTTGCAAAGAAGTGTTTTCTAAAATTCATGATTATTTTATTGAAGTACAAGATGTAAAAAAATCGACCCTAGTGTTATATGGAATGTCCGGTGTTGGAAAGACGCAAATTGCTAGAAAATATTGTGAGGTTTATCATAATTTTTATGAAAGTTTTGTTTGGATAAACGCAGCATTTGGAAAGTTACAAACGTCAATAATCAATCTTTGTCAGTTATTAGGACTTATAGTTCAAGATTCGAAAGGTGACTTTTTTAATATAGAAGTGATTGTTGAAAAAATTCATAATTATTATAAAAATGAAAAGACGCTGTATATTTTTGACAATGTAGACGATGAAAGTGTTCAAAATTTGGAAATGTACATTTCAAACAAATCGAATTCATTTACTTTAATAACCTCTCAATGGAGAACGTGGTCGAATAACGTAAATAAAATGCTCATTGATGTTTTTTCTTCTGAAGATGCATTTACTTATGTAAAAAATAATATAAAAGAAACCACCGATGAAAACATAAGAAACTTAATTAAAGAACTTGGTTATCATCCGTTTGCTATTACTCAGGCAATAAAATATATAAAGATATATGAAATTTCGATAGAAAAATACATTGATCGATATAGATCGAAACCTTTAGAAACACTAGACGATGAAACCTTTCCAACCGAAGATGAATCAAAGTCTGCAATAAAAGCAATCAATTTAGTTTTAATAAAATTAGAAAAAACTAAAATTATTCCGTTTAAAATACTTAATTGTTTATCTCATTGTGATCCTCAAAACATAAGTAAAGAATTTATAATCCAAATTTCAAAACACATGGGAATACACGAAGACTACTTGGTTGATCAAGCTGTTAGATTACTTATGAGTTATTCTTTACTAAATCGTTTTGATGATAAAAAGTATTCAATACATGAACTGACACAGTTGTCGTGTCGATGTTTTCAAAGCAAAACTTTAAATACAAATACGTATCTTGATCTAATCGAAAACTATTTAAATTTTGAGTTAAACGGAGTAAAATATCACGTTGATTTTGGAAACCATTTTGTTTTTCATTTTCTTTATTTATTTCGTATTAACAGAAAGAGAATGTCAAAAACCTTCCATCATATGTCGACTCCTATTAAAAAATTATTAATATGTAAAGGTTTATTTCAAGAAGCAATCGACATATTAAAAGCTGTTGAAAGTTTTATTGTAGAAACTTATGGAGAAAATAATGAGCTTACATTTGATACTAAACATAATATTGCAAAATGTTTGTACGATATGGGAAAATATTACGAAGCTTTAGAAATTTATTATTTTGTTGATAAAATAAAAACTGAAAATTTAGGTTTTAACCATCCGTCTACAATGAAAACAAAACATAATATTGCTCTCTGTTTGCACGATATGGGAAAATATAACGAAGCCTTAGAAAATTATTATTCTGTTGACAAAATGCAAATTGAAGTTTTAGGTAACAATCATCTATCAACAATGAAGACAAAACATAATATCGCACTCTATTTAAACGATATGGGAAAATATAATGAAGCTTTAGAGATTTTTTACGCTGTTGATAAAATACGAACTGAAACTTTAGGTATTAGCCATCCATCCACAACAAAAACCAAAAATAGTATTGCAATCTGTTTGTGCGATATGGGAAAATACAACGAAGCTTTAGAAATTTTTTATTCTGTTGATAAAATACAAACAGAACTTTTAGGTGTTAATCATCCGACTGCAATGGCAACAAAAGATAATATAGCAAACTGTTTGCACGATATGGGAAAGTATAATAAAGCTTTAGAAATTTATAATTCTGTCGATAAAATAAAAACTGAAATTTTAGGTAATGACCATCCTTCTACAATGAAAACAAAAAATAATTTGGCAAATTGTTTATACGATATGGGAAAATATAATGAAGCTTTAGAAATTTTTTACGTTGTGGATAAAATGCGGACTGAAACCTTAGGTATTAGCCATCCATCCACAACAAAAACAAAAAATAGTATTGCAAACTTTTTGTGCGATATGGGAAAATATAACGAAGCTTTAGAAATTTTTTATTCTGTTGAAAAAATACAAACAGAAGTTTTAGGTATTAATCATCCGGCAACAATGGCAACAAAAGATAATATAGCAAACTGTTTGCACGATATGGGAAAATATAACAAAGCTTTAGAAATTTATAATTATGTTGATAAAATAAAAACTGAAGTTTTAGGTAATAACCATCCATCTACAATGAAAACAAGAAATAATATGGCAGGTTGTTTGTACGAAATGGGAAAATTTAATAAAGCATTAGAAATTTTTAGTTCTGTTAATAAAATAAAACTTGAAATTTTTGGGGATAGTCATCCATCTACAATGAAAACAAAACATAATATCGCAAACTGTTTGTACGATATGGGAAAATATAACGAAGCTTTAGAAATTTATTACTCTGTTGATAAAATTAAAACAGAAATTTTAGGCAACAACCATCCATCTACAATGAAAACAAAAAGTAATATAGCAAATTGTTTCAACGAAATGGGAAAATATACTGAAGCTCTAGAAATTTTATATTCTGTTGAAAAAATACAAACTAAAATTTTGGGTGGCAATAATCCCTCAACAATAGCAACACAACATTGTATTGCAATCTGTTTGAGCAAAATGGGAAAATATAACTATGCTTTGGAAATTTATGATTCTGTTTATAAAAAACAAACCGAAATTTTAGGTTTCAATCATCTATCTACAATGAAAACAAAACATTGTATTGCAAGCTGTTTGGAAGACATGGGAAAATATAAAGAAGCTCTAAAAGTTTTTTATTCTGTTGATAAAATACAAACTGAAACTTTAGGCATCACCCATCCATCTACAATAAACACAAAACATTGTATCGCAAGCTGTATGAGTAATTTAGAAAAAAAACAAACGAATTGTTTAATTGTTTAAATAATTTTATAGTTTATATATTTATCATAGATCCGTTTTTATTCAAAATCTTGTAAAAAAATTCTTCATCTTTTTAGCTTTGATAATAAGAAATGCAATTTTGCTATGAAGTTAATTATATTTCCGATTTAACTTAATAAGAACAAAATAATAAAATGACAAGTAGAAAATGATTTATTATCAAGAGAGTTAAATAGTATCCATTAATCTATTTTTAGTTTCTCATAGAACCATATTTTGATGGTTCAATTTAAATTAAACATTAAAAGTATAAGTGTCTACTAGGAAGAGAGAAACTCTCTTCAAGACCCTTCCCTCACTAAACCTCTCGACGGCTACCTTCTACCACTAATTCTTAAATCCACTTTTACTTAAAACTGCTTCAGTCGTGATCATACTCTAAACAGTAAATGATGAACTAGATAACAAGATGAAACTGTCGTTAATAAATAATGAAACATTACTTGATTCTGTACTTCAATCCAGTTTATTAATTGAATACTCCGTGTTCAATTAATAAACTATCATTCATACGTTTATAACTCATCTATTTTAAGTTTCTCGACATCATTCGCGTAGCCACATTTTTCATGATTCATATATGACACTTTCAGGATTTTGTTTTCACAACATCACGCAATCAAAAAGACAAAAAAAAGACGTGTTTTGAACGTTGAAAAGACATTCAAAACGTTTAAAAGACGTTTAAAAGACGTCAAAACGTGTATAAGTTGTTTAAAAGACGTCTTTTTTACATCCGTGCCCACTAGGTTATTGCTTAGGCGTGGACTTCCTGATTAAATGCTATTCTAGCGAGCTCTGTGATAAAACCGTCAGAATTTTTTGAAGCACCTAAAAATTAAAAAATTAAAAAGATACAAAAAAATCCGCAATGATTATAGCTTGGTAACAAAATTACTCTAAAATGTTTGATCCCTTACCCTTATGTGAGATCAAATGCTGCGTTGTAAATCAAGTTTAGCGGTGCTGAAAAAAATAGTGCTCCTATAGAAGCACTATTTTTAAAACAGATAATAGATAAAATAGATTTTCAAAATAAAAAAGATATACGTAACTGATGGCTTTTTAGTATACTAAAAAGCCATCAGCTACGTATATCTTTTTTACTTATATCGAGTGGGATTGTTTTTATTACGGGGTAATATAGAAATACCTAAAACATAAGGTATTCAAAAAACTTACCAAATATTACCAAATATTACCAAATAAATAATAATTATTATGTTATTTACCAATGTTACCATTTATATAACAAAAAACTTAACAATGTTACCATTTATATAACAAGACCATGTCATCTAAAAGTCCTATAGGACTTTTAGATGACATGGTCTTGTTATATAAATAATTCCATAATGAGATGCTACTATATAAAGTATAAAATGTATCCCTATATTTAAGTCTATTTGGAGATAAAATAATATTTTTGTTAAAACGAAGTTTAAAGGAAGATTTTTTATAGTAAATAGATTTTATGTTTGATAATTAATTGATTTAAAAACATTTATCATAAGATAATGCAAATTCCTTAAGTGGATTTTTATACAAAACTTAACAACTCATCCAGAAATAAACCAAACCTTGTGGACAAAGGTTTAGTTTATTTTCTATGAATTCTTTATATGAGGTTGTCATAATTTTTAGATAAAAACCATCTAAATTTGTGGACAATAACAAAAATGATATGATAAAAGCGTTAAACAACAGATTTTCTATTATTAATTATCTATTATTATTATATTAACTTTTAGGATTGATTTTTTGAGTTTTTTTAAGCACCTGAAGGTAGTTAGCTTAAAAAAGGTAATAGTAGTTGCTTTATTTCGAAAACAAGAAATAACGTTTTCTATGTTGCTGCAAACAAAAAGAGTTTTATCACCCACAAAATTGCACAGTTTGGTATCTTTAATAAATAAAAACATATCATATGTTATAATATTTTTAAAATAATATGTTTGAATTAATTTAAAAATGTTATGCACTTATTATAATTAAATGGTATTTATCTTTATAAAGTTGTTTTAAAAATTTTAAAAAAATTTAAAAAGATATTCAAAAAATGGGACCAAGAACTTTTAGACACTCCTGATGAAATAACCAGCCAATTGGAAAAAAGATGATCAATATACTTTTTGATAGCTCCATTAACTGGGTTTTTAGAGCATGAAGCTTATAAGGTTGGACATACTACATGGAAAAATGACAGTGCTTTGTAAATAACTTTGTGTATCAAGCCACTCTATATTAGACACTTTGTGTAAATAGTGTTTTTATATTTAAAAATTATCTAGTTAATTAGATTATTCCAGTTATTAGTATTTATGTAAAAAGTGTTTTAATTTAGATAAGTTTAGGTATTTAGCAGGACTTTATTTCTGACTATTTTATATTTAATCATCAGCATTAGTCGGTGTTTTAACTTGTCTAATTTAAAGGTTTGACTTTGAGATTTGGTTTCTTAAATTGAGAGCAATATCTATTAACACACTTGTTTTGGTCGAGGTCAGACAAAAGAATAATTTCATGATGAGCAAATTACGTATTCCATTTAAAGTAATGTTTGAAAACATGAACAACCTATAAAGATAAATGTTTAAACAGTTCAACTGCCAGAAACACACGTTTCAATCCTATAGAGCAGTGGGGTTCAAACTTAATAATCAACCAACTTGATTGGTGGCAAATGAAAATGAACTGAGTTATTAACTTTGGGTATCTTCCGGTTTAATTAGTAGATACAAAAACTCTGCAAACTCGATTAACCACCTTTGCGTGACTTAACCACCAACTGTGATTTGTAGGTCCAGGTTTAATCTTAGCAAGATCTATGCTTAGGTTTTCTAATGCAAGAATAATCTCGTACTGCTGATATTTACTAAGATTGAGAAGTGATTTATTTGATAATATAGGTAATCCGCTTCCATCTCTTATAGGTTAAAATTTTACAAATTTTACAACAGTCAACTTTTCACATCCTTGAATTACCGTATCGTCCTAGAAATGACCATCTGCAGGATGTTAAACCATCAATTTATTTAAAAAAATGTTTAAATAGAAGTTCATTTGTGTGCAGAAAGTAAATATACAATTGTAGCAGAAGGTAATTGAAACTGTGTTTGACTGGTGGTATCACAGCTGACAACTCGTATATTAGACAATATGCACTCTAAAATGTTTTTGCTGTTACTAGGTATTGGTGAATTATTTTAATAGATTTATTTTCAGTTCTGCAACTAAAACATTACGGTCTCCTTTCCTACCCAGCGAGGAATGAGCTAACGACTAGCTAGCAAGTAGCTAGCTTTAAAGCAATTCTTGAACGGTTTTTTTAAACATTATTGTTTTATTTTATCTTTTACGTATTAAAAAGATTTGATTTTTAAAATAGTTTTACTTATTAGTTATGATAATTATTGACCTTAACATTGCAATTTATCACAACATGTCGCTGTATAGATTCTGTAATTTTGAAGCTATCGATATTATTACGCTTTGTCGCTAGCTACCTAACGCAATTTCTATAGATATTATGTAATTATAGATATAGCGATAACACCTATAGATATAGCAATATGTATATGATCTTTTGTTAGCAACTTTAAGAAAATGTGTAGGGAGCAATATATCGTAGCTTTGTAGCTTGCCAAAATATATAACTAATACTCTATAGGTTGCCATAATATATAACTAATACTCTATAGGTAGTCCATAAATCTAGCTAAAAATAGCGCTAGTTAAAAAGTTGTGGTGTCTATAGACACAGTTCATCACAAAACAACTAAAAATGTTTAAATCAGATAGTGCCAAAAATTTACATACTGGTTCTAAACTACCATATCTCTCATTTGTGCCCTGGTTTTTAAAAATACATTGTCCTGTGTGATGATATTATGTTTTTTGTTAAAGGTTGCACTAAATATCAACATAATTGGATGTTACATTGCATAAAAATAGTATTTCTCATTATCAGTATTATAAATCCATGGCATAAATGAATCTCTTACCTATAATGAACAACCTGTGAACATTTCAAGTCAAAAGCAGGTGTTTAACTAAAACTACAATGTTTTGAACTTTTAAAAAATTGTAAAAACTAAAAATCAAGCAAATCAAGTTCTAAAATTATTTTTATAGTTTTAGACAATTACAAGTTGAACAAACGCATCAAAACTCCCAGCTTCATATCCCAGTTGTTCTTTTTGGTTTTCAATATCAAGATTTTTTTATTGTTCTTAAAGTTTTCCTATGGTCTTTAACAGGTTGACGAGATTTGTGTTCCATATGTGCTATTTGAAGATTACCTTGTTTCTGAGTTTTAGCAGCTGTTACAAAACCATCACATCAAAATGATGTTAAAACCTCTCTAATACTATTTCCTCCATCATTCAAATGTAAGACTGCAGAGTATACTGCCATTTCATTATTGAATTAAGACGTTCATTAGCATTTTGAGTTTGTCCATGGAGACATTTTAAATAACAAGGTATCAGCAGATAAATCAAAGAATATAGGCTTAATAATATCATGAATCCACTTTGGTAGTGATATTTTGTTTTTATAGAAAGAAGTTCCTTTGATTTTATCATATTGCCATTTTTTTGTAAGTGAAATGAATTGTTTGTCATACTAGACATATTCATGCATTTCTCAAATTTCTCCATTCCACTGAAACCTTTTCCTTTCTCACCAAAAACAACAACAGGACGTAGGTTTGCTTCAAACACAGTTTTTCTTTGAAACTTATCTGTAGTTGAACACTTCACTGATGTGTAGGAAGACTCATTCCAATCACAATAAGTACAATTAATTTTGATTAAATGACAAAAATCCATTCGAGATTTTAGGTTATCTGTTAACGTTATTATACTGTTACACTCAGGGCATTTTAGAAGTAATACTAGATTTTTTAAATTCCAAAAGTTTACAATACATAAAATTTTTTTATTGTTATTAATAATTTAGTTTGTATCATTGCATTGATATTTTTTTACAACTAATTTTCTTCCACTTGAAGAGGCTATCTCGTGTTGAACAGACAC